AGGACCAGTACAAATTGATGGCGATCAGAGATGGTGACTGGAAAAGAGGGTGAAGCGAGGGGTGAAGATGGTGATCAGAATTTTCGAGAGAGAAGAGGGATTAAGGGAGTTCGATCGAGAGGAGCAGATGAAGGTTGTCGATTTGCGAGAGAATCCTTTCTCTGCTCTGTATTATGATCGAAAAAAAAAGGATAGGAGAAAGCTGTTGTTTAAAATCTGATGAGAGAAATAGAGACACCACATATATATATATATATATATATATATATAATATGTCTAGGTTTTAATGTCTTAGTACCCAAGATACCATCACACATGATCACACGGTTTAGGGGAAAAAAACGTGTTTGGGGCAGTTCGGTTTCGCGGGTCGGCCGGTTCGTGCACAGGCTCAAGGAACGAATCGGCTCTCGGGCCTGACTAGACGTAACATCAATTCGGCTCGACGATTAAAATAAAACGGATATTATTTATATACATTAAAAACGCACAATTTAATATAAAATAATAATATTAATAATAATACAAATATGTGATCAATTACAATTAAGCAATTTATAATATTTAGACATTTAGGCACCTTAATTACAATTTGGAAAATAAATAACATTTAGACAATTAGGCATTTAATAGCAAATTTAATAATTAAATAATATTATACATTCAATAATAATAATAATAATAATAAATAATAATAATAATAATACTAATAATAATAATACTAATAATAATAAATCTCAAATAATCCACAATTAAACGGGCATTACCGATTTCTGATTTCTCTGATCGAGCGAAGAAGAAAGGCGAGAGAGAGTAAAGAGATTTCTGACTGCGGGATTCCTTTCTGAGTTACGATCGAGCGTGAAGAATAATAAAGCTGCTAGGGTTTTCTTCTTATCTTGGCGAGCAAGAAAAGGTCACACACACGCACACGGGTCAAGCTCGAGAAAACTGGGTTCGGTCTGCTGGTTCGGGCTAAGCTGGGCCAGCTCTCGGTTCGCTAGACGGGGTCGCGGGTTTGGTTGGTTTATCAGTCTCGACAAAACTGAAATATAATCCCGACAAAAATTAATGGCTCGACATTTAAAATAAAATCCGGATTTTTAAATAATTAACACACACATATTTAATAATAAATATAAATAATAGGCAAATACTCCACGAATAAACGGGGCATTACAAACTAAGTCTAATCTTATAAGAACTAGAATTATAATTCATGGAAATAAATTAAACTCTTAAGGTAACTAAATATCTAGAATCAAAGACTTCCCAAATAACTAATTAGGCACATGCCTTTATTCAAATTCCTAACCAAACTAAAAGTCCTAATATGCTAAGGAAATCGGACCTCAACCTTCTAAATGAATTGAGGTCTTTCTTGCGTCGCACGCCCCTCAGACTTGCCCTAGACGGCGCGCTATTCCTCTTCCTCCGAGGCTTCATGCTTACCCGCGCCCTTCGCACCGCACGCGTCGTCCGTCGTGCCACGCGCGTGTTCGTCCCATCACGTGTCGTCCATCTAGCGATTGAATGACACGCTAGCCCCGATTGTTTGCGTCTCTCATCCCAATTGACCCTTGCGAGGTCATCCTTCGCGAGTCCCTCGCCGTGTACTCTTCATCGACCCGTTGCATCTTATCGCGCGTGCCTTCCTTCGCGCGACCCAGTCTCGTGCGACCCGCTCCCGCACGCCTCGTCACCTGTCTCACGCGTATCTTCGGTCTACGCATTGCACGCTTTCCACGCGCACGACCATTTTCGTTGACGCGAGCCCCTTTCTCGCGGTATCGTGGGTCGTAACGTCCGTTCACGCGCCCTCTATCATGTCTCAAGTGCGTTGCGTCCTCAGGTTCGGAAGGGTCGATGACCACATCTTCATCACGCAGGTGGCACGCGGGACGTCGGGCGTGTGCATTGTGGCGCTGAGGCTTTCCTATGCCAACGCGGACTGGGCGCTGGTGTCAGGGCTCACGCGGGCGTGCGCTACATGTCTCCTTGGCATGCGCGGGCTAGTGTGCGCGTGCTTTCTCCCACAGGGGAATGGGGCGCGAAGGACACGGGCAGCGATGGCACGCGGCGTGCAGGGACGACGTGCGGGACCATCGTTGGGAGCAGGTACCAGCGTCAGGTGGCACGCGGGATGTGCTCAGCTACATGCGGTGGGCGCGGGTGGCTTCCGGCGACGGCAGAGATTTCTGGCGATGGTGGACGGCGGCGACTGACCAGAATTTAGGAGATCTAATGGGATCGATCTATCTAACCTAAAGATCTTCTAATGTATGATCTAAACACCTACTCCGAAAAATCTTGGTGAGTGATTTTTCGGATCTCTCGAACTCTCAATATATAGAACACTCGAAACTCCTTCTTCCCTTAGGAATCTTTAGTCTTGGGCGTGTAATACATCTAGGGGAGAGTCCAAGACATGGTGTATTTATAGACTACATTAGGGACCTTAAGGAGGTGCTAAATATGGGATTATCCTATTAGGCTAAGGAAGCCTAATTCTATTCTATATACTTTTCCAATCTAAGATAAAATTTCTCCTAACCTTAATTACCTTCTAGAAGACTCCATAGTCTTCTAACGATAGGTAATATTCTAGAAGGAATATTTTTCTCCTAATGAAAACACAATGATTTCAAACAAAAACTTAACGTAATTCGGGATGTCCCCTTTACTTCTTTTGAAAATTGGTTTCTCTTAAATTGGTCGAATATACTGCTTCAAGATTTAAAGAAACTTTATTGTCGAATAGTTATTTAACCATTCAATCCAATCACGCATCGGGATTGACTGATATAAGGAAATACTGAAATCAGACATTGATCGACAACATAAAATTCAATGGTAGAGGAAATGTAATCATAGTTCATCCAGTATATTTATTTATTACAAAACCTGAAGAATATCCTTTATTAGCCATCTAGGCATGACCACCACCACTTATGCTCAGCCTTCATGCTCGACTCCATTTCCTGAAATATCATAAATAATGGGACCTGAGTACATAGCCATGGTACTCTGTAGAAACCCAAAATAATAGCAGTAAAAATAGTAATCTTGAAAAGTGGCATACATGCATATAACTGGAAGAACTGGCATATATAAATGTAACTGAATTCTTACTGCTCTCGGACACATTGGTCGCTATCATGTGTACACTCCGATGGGATAATAATCATACTGTAACCCCACCGGAACCTGAGTTAAGGACACGTTGGCCTATACACAGGTGATAAATCATACGGACCTAGGCCGTTACCCACTTATCAGAGGACATTTTTTTACGTACATACCTTGGATGCGGTAACTGAGAATATAACATAAGTAAATCCCAGTACAGGGTTCCCACCTTTTCTGCTGTATAGTAAGTTAACTGCTCTGTTGATGCTCGACTCTGTAAGCTACATAAAATTTTAAATAACACACATGCTAAGTCTTATGCTCGAAAGACTTAATAAAATACTGAGATGTTGTCATATGCTAGTCTGGCTTTGGTTCAAATATCCATTCATTTTTAAATCCGATTTTAAAAGAATTATTCTGGATACTTAAAATATTTCTAAGTCTAAAAATAAAATAACTAGTTTAAAACTGGGCTGACTCAATTTATAAAAATACTTAAAAGTTCCAGTACAAACTCGGACTAAAAATATCAAACCGGATATCTCGAACCGACCGTTTAATCGGACCGGTTCACTGGTTTGGACCGGCGACTCACCCTGAGCTGGTCGGCCGTTGGTGACACGAGTTCCTCGGCTCGGTCACTAGTGACTCGCAGGCACAGGCTCGGTCGTGTCGGGTGCGGCTAGGTGTTGCTGCATGTACCGAACCACTATTGCTAGTCGCATGGGTTCTCGGGTTCAACATTGGTACTATGGCACGACATTGGTGTCCCCGGGTGTTTCTGGGCACATTCAGGCGTCACTGGACACGAGGGCACGGGCACAAACACGGATTGAACGCTACTAGGTGTTACCCGTGCATTACGGTATTGGCGTGACACGGTTGAGTGTGACCGACACTACTCGGGCACGCTGGCACGACCCTGTCAAGGTTATAGGCCGAACTCGGTATGCACACGGGGAGCTGACCTGAGCAGGCGCGGGCGCTAACCTCTGTTAACAGGAATTCTCCCGTGACATTAACCTCTGAACACGGAACCTGCCGGGCGCCAGCGCACGCTTGGTGCTTGACAGTGGCCATGGTCGGCTTCTCGCTGACTGTCCGTCTACTTTTCCGGTGACTACTGACTAAAACCAATACTTTAAGATCATAAGGAGTCCAAATATGTATAAAAACTCTGGGGTGATCCGACTCGATTTTAGAAATGGTTCGAAAGACAAAAACGGACCAAATAGGATTTTAGATCACCGAATCATTTAACTCTTTTAAAGTTGAGACTTAGGGCCGAATATTCACTATATATATCATGATTTTTGGTACTAATAACATGTCAAATACTTACATAAGTAAAGACGTGAATCCGTGCTCAAAATACCGCCTAGAAAATGATTTCTAATTAATAAACAACTTTTTCCCTTTTGCACACTATATCACGCCTTTCAATCATTTTGCAAAAAGATACACGGTTTTGACCATCAGTCCAAAAAAAATTGACGTGGCACCCAAAATACCACCACACTAGCTGAGTTGTATTTACCAACCAAATTTTTTTCCACCTCAGACTAAGACGACGTCGTTTCGTCTCACTTTTAAAGTATTTTATTTTTTTCCACGTAATAGCGTTTGAGCAATGTAAGCATAAAGATCACAAAGAGGCTGCTAAAAAACAGGGTTATCACAAGTGTCCATATCAAGTTCTTAACCAGACTTGAACTTATTGAATTTAAGGTCGTGGGATTGTGGGAAAAGGTTGAATTATTAATCAGGTCGGTGAGAACTAACAACTTTGGAGAAATTACAGAGAAATCAACATTGTTTTTCTGCAGATAACAAGAGGACGACGTCGTATTGTAGACAAAAGACTAAAGATGGCGGTGGTGAGGGTTTCTACAGACAGAGGCAAAAATTCCGAAGACGACGGTGCAGAGAACGAGAAGACAAAACAGAAGGAGAAAAGGCATGTTTGTAATGGAGCGAGGGTCGTAACTATAGGAGATCTGAAGGTACTGTGATTGGTCTTCTTGTTCTTGTTTGTGTTCGGAGATGGAGGCGATGGGCGGCTCAAGCAGCGGATGGGGTTTGGAGAGGAGAGGTTGGGCGGCAACGGCGACAGTAGATGAGGGCTCGTGTTGGGTGGAAGACAGCTTGTTGGGGTTGTCGGAATTGTCCATCGGCGGCGGAGGGCGGTGGTCCGGTGGTGGGAGATNAATGAGATGAAACGACGTCGTCTTAGTCTGAGGTCGAAAAAAAAAATTGGCTGGTAAATTCAACTCAGCAAGCGTGGTGGCATTTTGAGTGCCACGTCAGTTTTTCTAGGGCTTGTGGTCAAAACTGTGTATCGTTTTGCAAAAAAATGAACGTGATATAGTGTGCCAAAGTGAGAAAGTTGTGATTAATTGCAATCTCGACAAAGGTCAAGATATTATGCGCAATTTTGCCCAAAAATTATGGAGTACCTAACTCAGCTTTGGCACGCATGGAAACTAGACTTCTGAATTTAAGGCTTAATTAACTCAAAATTTGAAAACCTTCATATTACTCATACATGCCTCGTTTTTATGCCTAGAAATCCTTAAAATAACATGTTGAAGCTGGAATAAGGTTTGAAAAGGATTTTACCTTCACCGGAGTTTGGAATTGAACAAAGAGATGAACTTTCGGTCTATTCTCAGTAGTTGCTCGACCAAGGAGGTGTTCAGGTGAGTTCATGTAATACCCCGTTCGAATTATAGAATTTTGAGGAATAATTATTATTATTATTATTATTATTATTATTATTATTATTATTATTATTATTATTATTATTTATATTCATGTGTTATTAATAATATTATTGGTTGGGATGTTATAAGTTATTAATTGTCAAATATGATTTATTTGTCAAATTGCTTGATTGTCTAAATATTGAATTAATTGCCTAATTGTCTAAATATTAATAATTAATTAAAATGTGTATTTGTATTTTTACTAATATTATTATTATTTTCTTAAAATTTAAATTGTGTATTATCAATACATATTATATATTTTGTTTGTTTATTTAATTGTGCGAATTTATTAATCGAGCCTGAGAAATCTGTATTACTTCTACGTAGTCGGGCCCGAGAGCTGATTCGTTTCCTTGAACCGAAACCGCGAGCCCGATAATCCGGCCCAAATCCGAGCCCAACCAATTCGACCCGTGTGTGTTGTGTGAGATTCTTTTTTATCAAGACTCTAAACCTATTTACGTGATATATATATGTGTATCTCTATCCCCCTTCTCATTCACGCACAAATCAGAATAAATCCCTCAACCCGCAGACAATTCTGCTTCTTCGTTCTCTCGCGCAACTTAGAGCAGATAAGAGAAATCTGACGTTGTCATCATCACCTTAATCCTTCACCATCATCATCACTTCATCTCCTTCATTTCTGATTGCCATTACCTTCCCTTTCTCTGAAACTCCCGTCGCCATCATCTTTTCGCGAGGAACTAGAACCGCAGGCCCTTTTTCGGGCGAATTCAGCGGCTCCGTCATCGAGCAGCGCCCCAATCACCCTCCATCATCGCGGGTCCCTGCTCACACAGTAGCCCTGCGAAGTTTTTCCGGCAAATTCCACATTCGTACAGCGACCTTTAGTCGTGACGTAGCCACTGCCCTTCTTCTCCGGCGAGCCGCGCGAAGCCATCGATCCGTCGAGTTCGTTCGTCACTGCTAGCCACCGCAACTCGAGCCTGTCACCCCTACGTTCATTCCGTATTTGTTCGATTCCCGAGAACGGTATAAGGATCGACCCGTCTTGTTTAACTTTACATCTCGTTTATGTTGTGTTCTTAAGAGTTGATACAAAAGAGGTTATATATATATTTGTCGAATATGTGGAATTTATGTGGCTATGTGGATGCTTTGTCGAGATCATGTTAAAATTCGAGTCCTCGCTTGTTTATGTGTATATTGGTGATGATATAGGTGTTTAAGATGCTTAAGTGTTGCTATGAAGTTTGTATATCGCATGTGATGTTATTCGTGAATTTTTGCAGCCTCTGTCGAGCCTTTGGAAAGGCAATAAAAACTCGTTTTCTGAAGTTTGTCCTTCACATGATATGTATCTCTTTCAGTTGTGGTTCTGTGAGTTTTGGAATTTCGAAAATCCGACTTGAAATGAGAGAATTATGATTTTTACAAAATTGTCGCGCAAGCAGTTTTTAACAAATCCCGGCAGCATGTGTGTGTTGAATGTTTTATCTGTTTGTTGCATCTTAATGTGCTCAAATGAAAATCTGATCTTCATGAAAGTTATAGGTCTTTTTTGTATGTTTCTGAGGAGGTACAATTCGTGCTGATGTGATTACTGTAGCTCGGTTTGTGTTAGATTGAAGTAGGATATGCGTGTAGTGAGTTATACTTTTGGACAGCACGGTTGTTCTAAATGTTAACTGATGTTATCCCTCTGTAACGACCTTATCTGCCTTTAGCATTTCAAATAAAAGTTATAGAACTATCTCGTAGGTTTCTAACAAGGTAAAAAGCATGTCACTATGATAAGTGTAGCTTGAGATGTGATTTTTATAAAAATATTGTGCAAGCAGTTTTTCTGGAAATCGGCTGGGTATATGATTGGTCTGAAATTGATGTCCTAACGTGCTCAAATGTGAAAGTGGTCTTCATGATAATTGTTTCTATGTTTCTTGGCTATCCATAGGTTTTCGAATCTGGTCAATTTGAGGTCTATAACATGATTTAGAGTATAAGTACTGAGATGCTGTTTGTAAACTAAATCAAATTTTGACAGATTTTCTCACCTAAGTGTTTTGTGTTTAACACCGTGGATAACATAATTATTTGTCAATGTTTTCTTCAGCAAAGTTGTAGATATTTGGGGTAGCTACAGTTTGGTTTTGAAATTTCCTTGATAGCATGGCTGTAGCTCCATTTATATTGAATAGACTGAGGTTTTGTCCACTACATGTTTCCAGATTTTTCACAGCATCCCTGTTTCATATGTTTGATGTTCTAAAGCCTGTTAAATACCATTATTTGTTTCTGATGTCTTATAAAAATTGTAGAGGCTTGTCTTAGGATCCATATTCAACTGGTTTCGTGTCAATATGAATTTTGTGCTGCTTTTGGTGTTGATTTCAAAATCGCTGCGCGGGTTATGTTTTGAAAAATTATGTGTTGTTTTCGAAAATCAAACTTATCTTTTTAATGCTTGCTTATGTGAACTATATGAGTTGAATCTAATTAAGAGAATGTTTATATGAGTGTTTAAATGTGTGGAATAGTTATTTATAGGACTATTTTAATATATGTAGGTTCGGTGAGCTGAAGCCTCGATCGATTTTCTTGTTTTGTGTGTGATTCTCCATTCCAGCAACCAGGTGGGTTTTATTTAAAAATTTTCTATGCTGTAAATGATATGAATGAATGTTAATTATTTGTGGTATGATCAAAGTATGTATGAATGAATGTTAATTATTTGTGGTATGATCAAAGTATGTATGAATGAATGTTAATTATTTGTGGTATGATCAAAGTATGCATGTGAACCATGTAGCCTTCGATGTGAGCTGTACCGGCCGTCGAACGGTTATCCCCGTAGCTATAGAACGTACCCATTTGGTAATCTCCTTTGAGGATTTACCCCTACTGGCTTGGGCACCGATAGAAGCCCGAGGGGCATTCGGTATTTTACCCCGCAGTAGTGGTTTACCCTACTGGCTGGCACTCGATGTAAGACCGGAGGGCATTCGATATATAGTCAGCAGTAGTGAATTACTCCTACTGGCTGGCACTCGATGTAGGACCCGAGGGCATTTGATATATAGTCAGCAGTAGTCTATGCGTAGGTGTGCACATGAGTCTTGATTTTATGACGATCTTATGACGATATTATGACGATCTTATGACGATATTATGATGACAGGAGATTGGGATATTAAATTGATTCTTATTCATGCTGAGATCATACTGTTAATTTGTTTGAGTAATGTTTACTGCATAGTGGTGAGCACTACTTTTTCCTACGGTGCTCATCCCCACCTGAAATTCACGTTTCAGGTTAAGCGAGGCAGGCATGATGGCGGAGTGGAGCGAGTGGTGGTCGGTCTATAAGATCGGTCTTATTATTGGTTATGCTTCCGCATTTAGAATTATGGATTTTATGACTGTGGACTTAGAGTATTATTGCATTTATGAATTTATGAATTTTGGATTTTATGACTTGAATAATGTTAAGGAGATGCTCCTTAGAATTTATGAATGTTATTGAAACCCGGTTTGGGTGACTTATGAATTTTGGAAAACCCGTTTGGGAGTTAGTAAAATTGATGATTGATGATTGATATTGATAATCGATTCAGTATTGAGAAGTTGGATAAGTATTGAATTTTGTTTTGAAAATGAGTAGCGCCTTAGGTGTTTTGAAATAAATTTGAAAAATTTATTCTGATTTTCGGCAAATAAAAGTGAGGCGTTACAGTTCACTTCATGACAACTGATTTAAGGGTGTTTCATAAGTTGTCCTTAGCCTCTTGGTTCAATATGACTCGAGAGAACTTGAAACGAATGACATGTTACTCACTATGGACTCATTCTCGCGTTCTAGGGCCCAGAGGAGACTTGTCAGACTTTGGTCGGATTTTTCTCGAGAGTGGTCAAATTTTTCTAAGTATTTGGAGGTCCTCTCGTTCTTCTTCAAAGTTGGAGTTATAATAATGAGGATAGCCCCATCAAATTGCATTAAAATAAGAATTTGGACTTTTCTCATTACCTCATCCTTCCTCCTTGGTTTATGTGCCTTAGCAAGATGAGGTAAGGTATTTCTGACCATTATTTTAAGTGTCCTCGTGGTCAAATCAAGCTGCCCGAAGAAAAATGTCTACACTTGCTTTAGGCCTCGGCTGAACCTTGTTGGTGCTGGGCCTTGCCTTGGGCTGCGCTGGACTGTGCAATGGGCTGTGTTATGGACTCGCACGAGAAAAAGGGCTACTCGATGGTTCGCGCGCTGAATTGGATTGCCACGGTTTTTGGGCCGTTTGGTTGTGCTAGGACACTAGGGCCGTGTAGTTGCACTGGCAACTTTGGCTCCTCGTGATTGTTGGCTCGTGGGAAAAAGGCTCGTTCACTCAGACAATGGGTGGCTGTTGGGCCACAGAGACTTCTCAAGCCAATTTAGCGGGGCTTGATTTTGCACAATAATTCGGGCTGATTGGGTACACTCGAACTGTGCACTCTTACCGACCCTGAGCGGGTGCTAGTCACTGCTGGACCGTGAATAATGGTTAGCCTATGTAAAACTGCTTGATTGAGCATAAGTTTTTGTCGTGTGAGTCTAATATACTAGGTGTTGCACTTGAATGACCCGAGTGGTGTTGCTAATATACTAGGCATGTATAAATATATGGCTTGACTTGAGTTCATTTCAATTCGACTTTGGTTAAAGGTTCGACTTTCTATGATTGTTTGCATACACTAGGACTGGATTCTCATTGAAACTGATAATACGTATTCGAGGTTCATACACGATATTTGAACCCAAATTTGAAATACAATATGTTCAGCTTTGATATAAAATCTCATCCGAATATCGCCTTAGTTTAGAATTCGTACTTTAAACGTTTTACTTACTCTGGGAAGTTAAAATCCAATACTTATTAATAAATAAATATTTATTGAAACATCCGACTTACTCTCGGAAGCTGAAACTGTTTAGCTTATTAATAAGTTACTAGGGTATTGCACAGGTGAACCCAACAACTCCCAGAGCGGCCCGACGGCACCCGGTACTCACCCTGTCATGCCCAGCGGCTCAACACGCACCCGTGCCGAGCTTGTAGCGCCGTATCTCATTTTTTTTTAACTGTTTGACTTAATTTTTACCCTTTGACCTTGTTTTTCGTGCTGAATATATTTTTAGTATTTTTGAATGGTCTTTTAGAGTCTAGCCTTCAAATCCAAGAGTCCTAAATTCCACGAACTACTTAGTCGATAATGTTTCGACTAAGTATGAATTCTCGTGATTATTTCTAAGTCTCAAGATAATGTATTTATGAGATTATCTTGATTAAATGTAGGTGTCTGAAGAGCCGAGCTCTCAACCTACTCTGTAGTCCGAGCTTTTCTCACTGCCTAATTGACTAGGTGGGTGTTATTAAATTTCTATGCCATGAATTCCTTATAATTGCTAGATGGTATGATCAATGTATGCGTGTGAACCACGTAACCTTCGATGTGTGCAGTCTCGACCTTCTAAACAGATATCCCTGTCGTCATGTGCAGTTTCGACCTTTGATAGTGCTTATTGACAAGCACTCTCCCTTAGCCTAATGACGGGCCATGTAGTTGTGTGCGGTTTCGACCTTCGGCATGTACACCCATTGTTGTGTGTGGTTTCGACCTTCAATGGCTTTTATAGATGTGCACATGAGTAATATATGGTGATTAGAAGATGTGATATTCTGATTGATTCATGTTCATGCTGTGACCATACTATCTGTTATTATTTTGATTTATGTGCATAGCGGTGAGCTAGTGGATCACTCACCNGTTCATGCTTCCGTTTTGTGGATATTGTTATGATTATGATGTCAACTTGATAAATTGTTTTTGGAAAAAAGAAAAAGGATTAGGAAACTGGTTCACATCACTTGTTAGCGAACTAAGATATGATGTTACGTTTATGATTGACTGTGAGGACATGAGTAGCATGTTATGATTTTGTATGACTGCGAGGATATGAATATGATGATATTTATCTCGTGTGTATATGATGGACATTGGGAAGAGAGTTCCTGTAGGCTCAGATACGGCTTGAGCTATATGATGATTGAATGCTTTAGTTGAGTAGCGTCTGTTAAATAGTTTTCGACAACAAAATGAATTAGAAAATTTAACTTTGATTTTTTTTTTTAAAACTCAGGATTTTCCGTATAAAAATAACGGGGCATTACACATCGCCCCAGCATCCGCTTCAACCTGCTCCCGCGCACTAGGCCTGCAGCACAGCCCAGCGCGGTCCGCAAGTGCAGCCAGCACGACATGCTAGCACAGCCTAGCGCTTGGCCCAGCGCGCAACAGAGGCCCAAAAGTTTTTTTGCCCATTTCCTCGGTCAAGTGGAGCTTTGACCACGAGCTATCATCAGATACAGTATGGAAACAAACCCCCTATCCTTCCTTGGCACCAAAACCAAGAAGAAATGAATGAGGTAAGGGAAAAAGTCCAAAAATTTCATATCTTAAAAGAAACTGTTGGGTCTCTTCATCATTATATACTCTACGCCGGGAAATAACCAGAGGACGTCTCAACACTTAATAATTTTCCTTAAATCTCATAAAAAACCGACCACAGCTCCGACAAGCCTTCTCCGAGCCCAACCGCGAGCAACGCATCCACGACGATCCACCGACTATTCTTTTCAAGTTCCACCGAGCAAGATTGAACTTGGAAGCTAAGGACAACCTAAGAGACACCTCAATACAGTCGCCACGGCCGTTAATCCACCGGAGCATTACTGTTGCCGAGAGACCTCGTGAAGAGGCCAAGAGCTTCTCTTTCCCATTTTCGAACATCGGTGAAGGTAAGCATGTAATGCCCCAAATCAGTAATAAGAATAAGAACGGTTTCACTGCTCGACTATAAGTGATACCCGTATTTTCAGAAATTCTGAGTTATACTATATATACTAAATGTTCAAAATATGATAGGTCATTCTTTGAAATTTTCTATGTTAAGTACAAGTCATGATCAATCCATTAATTTGGGTTGATAGGTTATAGTTTATCAACTCGAGAAATTATCGGCTTCGAACCCTAGTTTGGTTCCAATTATTCTTCAAGTTAATTCTCGAGCATAGCCAAGTCTTGGTATTTTATACTTAGAATAATTTTCTAAGTCTTGGAATATCAAGAAGTATGCCTCGGACATTTTAAAAATCGAGCCCTAGACCTACCTGAGCCGCCCGTGCCCTAACCTCGCACTCGCGCCCTGAGTCGCGCCCAAGGACCGCCCAAGACCTTTTCCAAGGCCTAACTATCATACATATTTTTATAAGTGTTGGGGACTTGTCCTAGCCCATTATACCCGGCCCAAGGTGTTCCCGCGCTCAGCCCATGCAATCCCCGCGCGCAGCCCCGCCTCGCGCCCAGCAGGCCTCGCACCAGCCCAGCAGGCCGCGCCCAGCAGCCAGCTCCCAGGCCCAGCGCGGGTCCGCGGCAGCCCACCTTCTTGAGCCCAAATGGCAAATTTTCGGCCCATTTTCCTCATGACCCAATTCAAGCGAGCATTAAGGACTTAATGGAGATTAGTTTGAGCTAATATGGTCCTAAGCAATGTTTAAGGAAAGTTAATTAATGCCTAAGTGAAGTGGACATGTGCCTTGCATTATTATATTCAAGATTCCTTTGTCCTTGTCCCCCCCACATGCACCAGTCTGACCAGACCTGCTCCTACCCCACAATGCTGAGATTCTCCACTCATTTGGCCACCAAAAATCGTGCATGAAGTCAGGCCAAACCCACCAAGACCACCCAAGTCCCTATGCGCATGGAGATGGGCAAAGTCATGGGCTTTTGTCCCCCATTAGCCAGCCTTGAGACCTCCGCCCCTCAGCCTATATAAGGGTCATTCCTTAGCCTCTTTGCAGCTCTTGGACACTTAAACACTCGGACATATTGAGAGAAATCAAAGGAAAAGTCAAACTCAACTTACTTTGGCCACTACCGCACGCGCACGACCCGGGGAAGGAGGAGAACCAGCCATCTCGTGTCCCAAGCCTTTTCTTCCGAGGCTTATCAACTTCCAAGCCTTCCTTAGATTTTTATAAGTCTTAGGAGTTCATAAAGCTCGGCCAAATCCCACTCCAAGTCGACCCTAGTGCCCAAAGTCGTGACCTAGCCCGAGCAAAGCCCTAGCCACCATTTTTGCATTTTGGTGGAGGTTAGCTCGAGCTATCTTTTTCCCTCAGCCTATTTATAATATTTTAGGATTTTTAATGTAGAAAAATCAAGCCATGCACGTCAAAATCATGAGTTCCGAATTTAATGATTTAATGGCCTTAAAAAATGAAATTTTAGTAGCAAGCATGTTAAAGTCGAGATTGTTAGTTAAATCACCCTTAAATATTATACCATTGATGGTGTAAAAGTCTGAATGTAAATAGAGTTCATTGCCTTGGTCAAATCATTCATGTAAATATGCTATTTTGAGCACCCGAGGCTTAGTACATTGCATGCATGATATGACCTAAGTGTTAGTCATTATAGTCCTCAATTATGGTGTATAACATTCGGCCCTGAGTAGTTTTGCATGTTGACAATGTAGGTTCGGAGGTCAAGTGCTCGTACGTGCCATTTAGGCCCCATCGAGTGACCATGCACGTGGATCCGGGGTCCACTAGTGTTTCATAGCATATTTGTAGCACTTTCATCATATTATGTTCATATGTCAGGCTTGTTACCGGAGAAAGTCGCCGGAGGTCTGGCAAGGGCCGACCTTGGTCACTGGCCGCGCACACAGCGGAGCAGTACCCGGCCCCGAGCCAGTCCGTGCCAGCGCCAGCATGCGAGAGGTACCCGCAGCACCAGTGCCCGCGACAGCGCGCCAGCAGCGCCTGTCCGTGCCCGCGTGCGAGGTCTCGGTGCCAGTCGCACCCAGCACCTCCGACAGCGCCCGACAGCGCTGTCCACGCCATGCGCACGTGGTCCCGAGCCCAGCCGCT